ACAATTCTGATTGAGCAGACTGATGACTAAGAATATATAGGATAGGCATCTGTGCTAATAGTACTAAAAGTTTTAGCAGCTTTTACTTTTTACTGGCCATGGTGACCTAACGAAGAAAGTATCTATTCCAATTAGTTCCTTTTATCTCAGAGTAGTTACAGGAGGTAAAATTACTTCTTCTTCCATAATGCTTCTATAGAAAAGCACTTTATAGTTACATATTGTTTAAGTTGATATTTTTCTAAGATGACTTTTCTGGTTTTTAAAAATCTTCTGTTAATTCTATGTTTGCTTATCACTACGTAATACTCTATTTCCTTAACGCTGCATGTGGCTAATATTTGCGAACTGAATAAAGAATAGATGTTTCAAATTTTATCTGAGGAACTCAGACACGGTCTTCTTTGACTACTCAGTTATAAACATTTGCCCTTACCTTCTAGCATATAGTCTTGGAGCACTCTGCTCTTAGAATCTTGAGAATACAATGGATGCAGGCCTGCTTCTCTCTATAGTTGGCTAAGCAAAACAATTTGTGTTTTTATCCTTCCTACTGCTGCTTACTACGTTTTACCTTAGAATTGGGAATACTTTTTGAGTGGGAATTTTATAGTATTGAAAACCTTTATCATAGAAAAACCTTAAAATTCTGAATAAGGCACATAGAAAGAAAGACTAATCCCTTACTGTATAGTGTTAGAAGCTTTGGTTGTATTAGAATGAAGGGGACCACATCTCTGGTGGGACTGGCCAATATAAACCTTTTACATAAATATTCTGCAAACAGATTTTACAAAACAGACCTTTTAAAACATCAGGAGCTGTGATTTCCCGCTATGAATTTCAGCCAACATCCTTTTATAGAATTCTGTTCTGTAGTAGGTCTGTCCGTTATGGAGTTAATTTTTTTCACGGCAGCACATACAGTACTACAGTACTACAGTACTACAGTACTACAAAACATTGTTGATAAGAGCAATATTTTAGTCATTGCTGAACAGGACCTTTTTTTTGCCCACTCTGCCCCATAGTAAGTAGGCTGGAGACGCACAAGAAGCTAAGAGGGAAGCACAAACAGGACAGCTGACCCAAACTGACCAAAGAGTTATTCCATGATATGTAACATCACGCTCAGAAATGAGAATGGATGGGGGGTGGATTTTGGGAAGGTTGACATTATTCGAAAACTGACTGGGCATCAGTGTACACGTGGAAGGTGGTGAACCATTGCCTTTGAATCATTTGATTTTTTAGTCTTTCTTCCTTTCTTTCTTCCTCCCATTTCCTTTGTTTATTAAAGTATCTCAACCCACAAGATTTCTACCCTTTGGTCTTCCTATTTTCTTCACTATTCTATAGTGAGAATAGAGTAAGTCAGTGGCTGTGCAGTGGTTAGCTGGTAGCAGGGGTCAACCCATCATGAGTGTAATTTTTTTGCCTATAGTTTCTGATGCATTGTTAAGATAACATGGTTATCTAATTTTAAGGCTTTATATTATGAAACATTGCCAATACCAAAGAGTAAGAATACATATTGCAAGTGTAATTCTGACAATGCTAATTGTCTCACTTTGACCTAACAAAATGCATCAAAGATATTTGAGCTGTTGGATTGCAGAATGGAGCTTTTATTAGCATAAGGGTAGCTGGTTAGTTATTCCTGAGCAACCAGAGAGTCTAATGTGACTGACAGTGACTTGTGCTGGTATAAAATAATTCACTGGAATATAACTCTTGGGTGACTGGAACTCTCGGGTGCAGTAGAAAATCAGAGCCTCCTTAAGCTGATGGAGTTGTATGTACTTCACCTATCGTGATCTCCCATCAGGTAAAGTTTAGATTGGATATTAGGAAAAATATCTTCACCAAAAGAGTTGGCAAGCACTGCAACAGGCTGCCTAGGGAAGTGGATGAGTCACCATCCCTGGAAGTATTTAAATAACGTAGATGTGGCATTTGGGGACATAGCTGAGTGGTAAGCTTGGCAGAGTCAGGTTTGCAGTTGAAGTTGATGATCTTAAAGGCCTTTTTCAATGTAAACTATTCTATGATTCATCCCACAGTACAATTACTTAATGCCACCTACTGTCTGGAGAGCCAAAGTAAAGTCTGTGAAGAATATGTTGTAATTAGAGTGCATATTGGATTTCTTTCTCACATTCAGATCTTTGGTCCTTAACTTGTACGATAAGGCTACTGTAATATGTCTTTGGAAGGAAATGGTATTTGATGGAGAAATTATTAAACTCCTGAGATCTCCATCTGTTTTTAAATCTTCCTTGATTATGCTTCTGTTGCTCCTTAACCTCTAGTTTTTTGCCTTTCAGAGGAGGAGGAAGAGACCCTTTAAATGCTAAAAATTCATTTTCTAGGGGATTATTAATTCAATATCTGTTCTTTTACAGCTGCTCTGGATGAAGAAGAAAAAGAAGAAATGTATCTTCTTCCATTTTTATGAATACATGTTGTGGTGGTTTGAAAAAAACCTTTCCCCCTGGGGCTTGTGATAGTCTGCCCAGGGGTGGTGTTTTTGATACTGGACCAATTAAAAACTTTGTGTGCCCTTGCGGAAATTACATGCTCACAGAAGCGGAAAAGAAGAGGTTAATTTCCAACTGCATAGCTAGAAGAAGAAGCAGCCATGCTTTGAAGGGTCCCTACCCCCTGGCTCCTGGCCGGAGGGGCCGGGAGCAGCACAGCTACTGAGAGAAGCCCCCTGAAGCTAGTGACCGAGGGGGACCCCGGAAGATAGGGGAGACCCTGGAGTTGGAGCGGGCCAGGCTCCATGACCCTTTGGAGAGACAGCTGCAGCATACAGTCATGTAAGTGCCGAGGGGAGTCTCCCCCCATGGGTTTGGGGGAGCCCCTGGGCCCTCGCTGTCCTGGCCCAGCCAAGACTGCGGGAGTTAAACTCCCCAGGAGTTTTCCAGCCGACCTCATCACCTTTTTCCCACCGTGGGTGGAAGGAGTGGTGAGAAGCTGTCTGGACCCTGCAGCAGCAGCGAATCGGACCAGTGAATCCAAGAACAGAGCAGACGGAGAGAGAGAGGGAGAGAGTCAGTTTTACCCAAATGATTAAATCTTACTGGACTGATTTTGCAACTCATTTGATGAGGCCTAGTGGGTATTCTTGGGGGAACGATATGTTTACTTCATAAAAAATCCATAACTTTGTCGACTTCTGATATCCTATTTTTTGGGAAGGATGTTGTTTAAACTTTTGCATATACAACTCCATTTTATCAGTCTCAGTTATAGCATCAGCTGCAGTTAGGAATAATACTTGCAATGTTGACATATACAATCTCATGGAGAATAGGAGAACACATGCCTTGCAAGCATAATATTTATTTCTGGAATGGTCTCTAACCTAAGATGGCAGTATGTGTCCAGCATGAGAGCTTGAAATATTAATTGCAGTCTGCTGGTAGAAAAATTCTCATTACAATAGCATCCAAAGACAATAATAAAAGTGTCAAGTTCTGTGATCTCCATATCAAGCATTTGATTTTGTCCAAGGTGTTTACTAGTTCTTGAAAAAAAAAAACCACTATTATCCAATACATTAAGTGTCCTAACAGTGAAAAGAAGAAAAAACTCTGGAAATCAGAGTAGAGGATTTGAGAAAATTCTTTTGAAGCACATAACTTTGGTTCAAGTTTAGGAAACGATAGTTGCAGGCTACCAACAGGACTTGTCAGAAAGAAGTACAATTTCTTTATACGTGTACTAAAACAAAGAAGCAAGCAAACAAACAAACAAAAAAGGCAAAAAAAACCCCAAACAAAACAAAATCCAAAAAGCCCACACACCCCTCATGCACTTCAGGGCTTCTGGGATGGGATTCAGCTGAAATGCAAACAACTTCAGCAATAATGCAGCAGTCAGTGGTACCTCCAGGGTTGTTCCGTTCACCCAAAGAGGAGATTTAAAAGATGGAGAACCAAATTGTGGATTGTGCCAGCAAGGATTCTACAACCTTTGGTTGGTGCTTAGATGTTTAGCTTACACCATTTTGTAGTGGGTTGACCCTGGCCGGATACCAGGTACCCACTAAAGCCTCTCTCTCACTCTCCCTCTGCAACTGGACAGAGGAGAGAGAAAAAAAACAGCTAAGGATTAATGAGTTGAGATAACAGCTGGGAGAGGTCAGTGACATTACCTTCAAGAGCAAGACAGACTTCAGCTACCAAAACCAGCCACAGAAACCCACTACACATGTACAGAAATCTACATTTAGACATCTTAATATTAATCTGAATTATACATTTATCAGTTTAATATTCCCACAAACATGCTGGGAGAAACTAGAATAAGAAAGAAAAAAATGATATTTCTTCCATTTTTTTTTAACTACACACAATTTCCCTGACAGTCTGAATGTTTCTTAAGGGGTATATTTATACTGTATGGTCTTTGTGTCTCTGTTGAGTACATTGAAAACAAATTGGTTCCTGACAGACTCCTGGAAGAAGTGGTACAGAACATGGGCCACCTCTGGTGCCGAAGTTTATACAATGTGAATGTCTCTCTTCTTTCCTCTCATAGAGGAATCAGTTGATAGAATACTTTTATTTCTTAGATGAAAGAAGTATTTTGTATTTCAGGAACTAATATAGCTGAAGAATTTTGAAAATAAATGCTGAAGTACTTAAAATAAAGCCCTTTTTTGGGGTAAGATACTTTTTAAGTCCCTTTGAAGCCAATGTCATTGGTGTAAATGAGTATTCCTGTCACTTATAATGAGGCCTTAAAATGCGCATAGTTGAAAATTTTCCACTCCTTTTGAAGTCCCCGTATAACCACATTGACTCAATAGCTGCTTTTAAATGCTAAAGCACTCCTCTTTCCTACTGCCTATATAATTACAAACAGACAAAAACCAGTGGTTGGAAAGCATGATTATAAAGTCCTTGATAAGTTTAGAACTCCCAAAAGTATTGCTTTAGATTTCAGAAAGAAAACTTAATAATTTTAATTTAAAAATATTCTCTACTGACCAGATGTAGATCAACACATGTAGAATTGTGTTCACAAGCATTGACTATGCAGTCATCAATGTCTTGGTCGCATTTCAGTCCTGCATATCCTGGGTTGCATAAACAATAAAAGCCATTGACAACTGCAACAGAGATAGTATGTTAGTACTAATAGTCTTTTAGCACAACAACTGAATGTAGTAAAATTAGTAAGTTACAGTTATGGCTACTGTCTGGAAAACATTTCAACTGGTTTTACCTAAAAGATGTGGGCATGTTAAAAAAATTGAAATAATTTAATTGTGGCATATCAAAAAATGTTTTTAATATGAAAGCAGATTCATTTACTGCATTTTACCTTAACAACTGAAATAGTTTGACATAAGAGTTATAAATAAATGACCCATTACTAGCTTCTGAAAAAGTTATGGTATCTTATAAGTAATTTTCCATCACAAAACTGTCACAAAGTACATAAGATTCAGTCTTTGATACTATGCCTAAATGAGATGTGGCAGTTGAACAATAATTGGCTTGCTGGTAGTTTTTAATATTTTGTGTGTGTGTGTAAGGAATGCCTCATATTGTACTACTATATTAAAGGAAAACTTGCTTGAGTTGAATTTTTCTATAATATATTTCTTAACAAGCAAATGATAAGAATCCTGTCTTTTTTTCATCATTCATGATCCAAATGGAGAGGAATCTTTAGAGTGTTACATCCATATAAGAAGCTCATGGCAACAATAATTGCACTTCTTGCAGGTCTGCCTTCAAAGACATCCCTGGATTCTTCATTATCACTGTGATTTACTGTAGAATATATTCTGTCATTGTGTCTGTACACACAGCTGTTATTATATTCATTAAAAGTTTTAAGTTGTTCAGCACAGGAGCATTATTCATCTGCTAAAAGCTTCCTAGCTTCCTTAGGATTCTGCTTTCTACAGTCAGTGCACATAGGGTAGAAGAACTCAAATGTCCACATGATACAACTCAAGCCAGAGGCACCACAAAGACAAGCTGTTCCCAAAATATTTGACGCTTTGTCAGCATGAAGAACTTTAAGGAATCTCATCTAAATTCCAGTTCAAAAATATCTCTAAAACAATGTAGACTACAGAGAAAACATCTGTAAACTAACTAGGAAGTAGTCTTTACTAGGTAAAAGATTAAGTCACTCGCCTTATTTCCATGTATGGAAAGGCAGACTTCTTAAGATATTTATTGAATTATTATTTTTTTTTTAACTAGAAGAGTTTTAGGCAATGATATATTTAGTAATTTGGAGTTGGTTCTTTAATATCACATCTGAAACCAGTAGGTTGATTGGACCTTGTATGAATTTTTCTAAAAAAAAAAAAATGCTGTTCTAGCACTGTTAATAGCCCAGATTCGTGCAGGGTTGACTACATGACCTCCAGATGTCTTTCTGCTTTCCAGTCAGCGTTTTAAGATTCTCTGAAAATTACTACTTCTACCTTTTTTTTTAACAAGCATAGAAATTTTCTGATAGGTTGTAATAGCCCCATAAAACTTTCAAGTAAGTACTCCATACTTAGTGATTGCTACTAAATTTAGCCTGCCAATCCAGATAGAATATAGCAGGGAAATCAAGTTGCTTCTAAAACCTTTAAGTATATATTTCAATGAAAGAGTGAGTTACACAGTTACATGATAGAAGGTGCTTTATAGTAAACAGATACTCCATTTTGCATCAGTTTTAAATTAAATTGAATTTTTTGACTTTTAAAATTATGACATATACTTCCTAACTGCTCCATGAGCTCCTTTTCAGCACCTGAATATTCTCTCATCAAATGCACAATGTAATATGTGTTTGGCTAATTTAGGTATCAAAGGAGACAGCACAAATCTCATTAAAATTTCTTACTAGCTACAGTTCTGACCCCCTGAACACACAAACCTCAGTGCCAGGAGTTGAGGCATTTTGGCAAAAATAATCCTTCTGGTACAGGCTGTGGAGCTTCAGACAAGCTAAATTTCATTAAATTATCCCCTGTTCTCCCCAGAGCAGCTCAGCAGCTACAGACACTTCAACAGAAAGACTACTCTACATTAAAGAGAGTAACCAGACTGAACTCACTGTCATAGCAGTATCCGTGGAGGCAAGGGTTAGAACTGCACTCATTGACATTGATCTCACAACGTGGACCTGCAAAGCCCTTCACACACTGGCAGTGGAATCCAAGGGGAAAAACGTCCAAATTCATTTCTTCTATGCACACAGCTCCGTTCTCACAGGGATTGCTGGCCTCACAAGGCCTAAACTCACAGTTCAAACCTGAAAAGGAAAACGGCAAAGCTGTCAGTGTTTAACTAACGATGTCCCTGCAGCTGCTGCCTACTACGAGCTGTATTTTCTTTACAACCCTGGTTTAAATCAAGTTGGAGGGTCTCAGAGATACACATACGTATATTATCATGAAGAAACAGTTATTTGCTTTGTAGAATTGTAAAAAAAAGATATCTGCTTTATCTGTTTTGTTTATATAATGAAAATGCATTTTAAAATCTTAAGAGCTATCTCATAGCTAGAGATAGATAGGTATATCTTATGGTTTTTCTACTTACCCTTGTGCTCTAAAATGGCTCAAAAAGTGTATTTATAAATAATTAATTAATTTTGATTGAAGCTTCCTGTTATTGACTCCTGATAATCTGTTGTCACAACTACCATGTGAACTGTTCATACATTAACCCATAATACCGAACATAATTAAATGTGTGTAACCTTCTATAACTTTTTTGCCTGCAGTCCATGACTGACACTAATTATTTTACTGAAATTATGTATTTATTTAATAATGAGTGACTGCCTTCATCATTTATAAAAATTCCATACAATAGAACATCTTACACAGTCCCATTGTACTCTTTCCTCTATTGTACTCTCGTGTATAGCAAATTATGGATGTTTATCTGGGTAATCCACGGAACTGTGTGATGCTGGATCTTACTGTGGAGGGTGTGGATGTCAATTAAATCTTTAATTTAAAACAAATAGACCAAAAGAGATTAAAAGGCGCTATAAAATGAGCCTTAGTTTGTTAAGAGATAAACAAGACTGACTGATTTTTTCCAGTACTGAAACTGGAAATGAGGAGGGCAGAGACAGCAGAGATCAAATGGGTTTTGGTTTGTAAAGCTGCTTTCCTTTTCACTCAATACTGCTGAAGGCAAGTCTGTTCTTTCAGGCTTAATTTCAAACAGAACTCAGTGGCTCTCAGGACTGCAACAAACTGTGCACAAGGCCCTCTGAGCCCCTTTGAAGCCCATCTGCCTTTCTATGACTGCTGAGGCTGGGCTGTCTCCATGCTATGCTTTCTGGTGGATCTTCCCAGGGTTTGTTGTACTCCAGGCCCTCTGCACACTTCAGCAGTGCCTGTGTCTCAGCTCTGATTGCCCAGCCATTCCTTTCTGAAGCAGTTTCTCCCTGTTCCAGCAATGTGTCTCTTCCTTAGACAGGCTGTAACCTTAAACCAGTGATGGGCAATGTGACACTACAACATAAAACACCTGGGTAGTCATGTGGAAAATCAAATCTGTACAGTTATGCTGTGATTGATCTTGGCTGGCTGACAGATGCCCATCCAGCCGCTCCATCACTCCCCCTCAACAGAGCAGGTGGAGAAAATAAGATAGAAAACCTTGTGGAACAAGACAAAGTTAGGGACATAATTTACCAATTACTGTCGTGGACAAAACAGACTCAACTTGAGGAAAACTGATTGAATTAATTTCCAATTAAAAATAGCATATGATGGTGAAAAACAAACACAAAACTAAAATCCCCTTCCCTCTCCTTCCTAGACTCAACTTCACTCCTTCACTCCAGACTGCTTCCTCCCCACCCCTTAATAGCACAGGCAGATGGGAAATGGTTGTTGCAGTCAGTCCATAACAGCTCCCCTCTGACCCTTCCTCCTCACAGTTTTGCCCTGCTTCAGTGCAGACCCCCCACAGGTAACAGATCCTGCCAGGAGACTTCTTCATAATAATGAAACAAACACTGTCCAAGATGTCAGCAGGATCTTAAGTGAACTTACTGTAAGATAGAGTGACCTAAGAGCTGAATTCTTAAGGCTTTTAATGACAAGAACAACAACTGAGAACAGAATTGAGGTAAAAAAAAATCAACAACCCTTTGGCCCCAGTAATGATGCTGAGAGAAGAGGAAAAAGACAACACAAGTTGTTGCCTGTTTTTATGCACCAGTGATCTCTCCAATGCAGGATTATCCTGCCAAAGACAGCCAACACTCAGATCTGGAATTCATGAAATTGCATAGAAAGAAGAGCCATATGGCACACTGAGATTTTGCCCTGAAGTTTTCATATTTATATCACAACAGCTTGACATGGGTGAAAACCCTGCTGATTTCTAAAGTGGAGTTCACACACACACACACAAATAACATATGACTCACAATCCTAAATGGAATGATCCGATGATCCAGTATCTCACTACTCGATTTTTTTACCTGGAGAGGTAGCTGCTGGCATTGCATCTACCTTCTGTGCCCTTCCTTTTCTCTTTACACACAGTCAAGAGTGCCCCATTTATCTGTTGTTCTGCCACACTTGCTTGAGTTCCTGTACATTGAAAAGAACTGTGCTTTGAGGAAACATTCCTTCAAGATAAATCAGTGGGCCCAAGAAAAATGTGCTTTCTCTTCAGTGTAATCTCTAATGGGAGCTTTCTATACAGATCTCAGAGTGAATGAAAACCAGATGACTGAAGTCCGGAATCATTATTCTGCTACTTGATTTTCTCATTTCTCTTAAGACTATGAACTCCATGATCTCACTGCCATTATTGCCAAAACTGTTTTTCACCTTTACATCCCAAATCTCCTCTTGCTTATTCACAAGCATAGAATACAGACAAATATCTCCCTCAGTTATTTCGCCCCACAATTGTTTAAAAAAACTTGTTAGCATGGTCAAAAAATCTCCTCAATTCTTTGTGTCTTTCCATGTTGTCTTTCCAGAAAAGTGAGTGTGGTAATATCCCAATGAAAATTAGGGCCTGAGTTCCTAAGTCTTTTCCTAGTTTCCTAAAGATGACTTCATAAACTTTTCTGGATCAAGCTGTCTGTAGTAGACATCCATCACAATATTCCTTTAAATGGTTCTCTTTCCATTCTGCCTGATCAACTTGAGCAGTGCATCGATGAAATCTTGTCTATAATGCTATTCAGATATTAACCCCCAGGATGCTTTTATTCCTAAGCAGCAATACTGGGGAAAACTCTGGCTGGGCTCCCACAGCCTTTGTCCCTACTGTCCGGGTCCACTAGTCACTTTTGATATGCTCTGGGTCTCTGTTGGCAGTGTCATTGGTGACTTCATGGACAAGCAGAAAAGGTAGTAGTCTGGGCATCAGCCAGGCTCTGGCAACCTCTTTCCCACATCCTGAATCCAGATCTCTGACACGCAAATAAACCTCCTTAGAGATCAGATCTGGTCAACAGATGGTTACCACTCTCCTTTACAGAAGTGTGTCTTATCTATTGTCAATAATTGCTTTATTTCAGTGGTACTGATGAGGGTGTGTGTGTCAGACTCAGACAACTTACATGACCTTCCAATTAAAATGCACTTTTCCCCACCTTTTGTCACAGCCCAATACTTCCTCCACAAGTGAATCTCTCATCCAAGTTGTCAGAAGGAATCATCTTCCAGCCTTCACTGTTGTAGAGTCTCCATCTCCACATGCCTGAGTGCATCCTCTACCTAGCCTGACCCTCTCCTCTGATCCTGCTCCTGTAGGTATCAGGTTTTTTTCCCTTCAGGGTCTCTCTTCCCTTCAGAAAAACATCCTCATCTTCCATTTTGTCATCACTGATACTGTGTAACCTTAGATAGCTTACGTAGTTCTTACTAGCCAGGTACTTCGCCTGGCAGCATGTCAACTAAACCAGGATGCATGTCTGACTGACAAGGAACTCACACACCTTCCTTCCATTCTGTTCTGCAAGCAAGGAACATGATTCAGCTCAGCAGAATGGTATGTATTACAGTGAAGTTTTAGTGATTTGATTTTTTATTGATTTGAAATTACACCAAAATTGTTTCCTGAAAAAAATAGTTTTTCCCCCATTTTAAGGAATTAGGGAAAACAACTTACTCATTTCATTCATTTTATTCTAACTATAATAAAGTGAAACAGCACAAAACAAAACAAAAAAACAAACCCTCAAATTAAAATTATCTTGACATTTATAAAAAATGGTAAATTAAAATATGACCATAATGTTGATGACCCGGGTTAATAATTCTGTTTATCCAATGAGGATAAACATGTGGTATAATGTTAATTGCTAACAATATAATATTTTTTCAGTACCCTCTTTCCAATATTATTCGTCACTCTTTAATTAGATATTCAATATCTTTTTCTTCCCACCCAGCTTTCATGCATATCATTGCATAAAAAATAATTTTTCTGCTACTGACGGAAATGGCAAAGGTTTCATTCTTATTCTAATTGGAAGATTGGTAAAACAAAAGATAATAAAATATTAAGACTGTCTCCATCCTACTCAGTCTCATTCCCTGAATCAATTAATTTTTAACTGTCAGTTTAGAGAATTAATAATTTAAAAGACCATTCCCTCACTTAGAGAACCACAATTGTTTATATATATTCTTATATATAAGTAATATACTATATTTTATGCTATTATTTCTGAAAATCATTCACTATTAAGTAATTGATTATTAATGTCAATCAATACAAGAAGCAAGAAAACAAGAAAAGAAAATTGGATGATTTAAAGTAGTTTTTTTTAGAAAATTCATATCCACATAAAGATTAAGGTTGGATAGTAGTAGGTGGTGGTTACATATTAGCAAAATGAGTGCACTTGCTGCGGTTGCTTTCTTATCAGCATTTTTTAAAAAAACTATAAAAGTATGATTAAAACATACATAAATCAAGTAGCGAACATGTTATAGGTTAAAAATTTCTTTATAAAAGTATCTTAATCAGAAAACAAAATTCACGTCTTCTGCCTTTTCTCTCTCTTCCAAATATTTCTTAGAGAATTTCTGTACAAACATTTTTGTACAAACATTTTACTGCAGCTGATTGATTCCAACACATCTATTTTTTACTAAACATAGGAAAGTTCTCACTTGATCTGGTAAGTTTTTGAAATAGTAAGTCTCTAATTGTTGACAGAAAGGAATGTTGTGCCAGGAAAATGGTTTATAAACTGTCTTCTCTCACTGACATATCAGAATTTTTAATTGGACATCACAGAGTAAAAAAATAATGGTCACTAAAGATAGTTAACTGATAAAAGATGGAGAGTAGGCCCAATGATCAAATATGAAAGAATCAAGGACAGAAATTCATTAATTAATTAATAAGTTCAGCACATCTTTCCAACTGTGCTTGTTCCCATTTGACAGATTTAACCTTTTTGCTTGTTTAATTCTTGGCTATATTTTTGTGATTACAATAACAGATTGTCTTTATTAAACAACTAAAGGCTTCTATATTAGAATTAACCTGAAAGAAAACCAAAAGTATATGTACAAATGGTTAAATTAAATAGTCAGTTGAAGGACAATTTCCTTTTCAGTTGCACAATATGTTGGATTAAGTAATATATGTCTTTATATATAAGCATATACCCATAGCATGCACTCATAGTATATAATATGCTTCTCTATTAGCATACTATATATCAAATAATGAATAATTTATTTGGAAAAGCCTTTTTTTTGGTTTTGTTTAGGAATCAGAAGCATATTGCATATTCAGAAATTACATTCTGCTGATATTAATGAGTTCTCTTTTCTACTGTGTTTGCTTATAATATTTCTAACGTAGAATCTTTAAATACCATAAGTTGAACACCAAAAATAGATTTTATTTTGCTGATAAAGACTCTCCTGTTAAGGTTATTGCTAAAAGTCAAAAGCCTAATTTATAAAAATTACATAGCAAATAAATTGCCCGAGATAAATTTTCATTTCTTTATGTGATACTATTGACATTTGTTTGTTTTATTTGCTCAGCATAAATGTGTACATGAAATGTTTTGATGTGCAGTACTGAATTCTCCAATAACCAGAAGTGGCATCTCTTCAACGTTGTTATTCTTTAGGAAAGTAATCTAATAAATAAAACATTTGCTACTAACATTTCAAGGAATTGAACCTGACAACAGTTTTCAAATTCAGCAGTATGGACTGCATCAATGACAAAACATATCTCTTTGCAAACTTCTGGCAATATAGTGAAAATATCTATGGCTAGTACCAGAACAACAAGTGTGTCATTTGGATGGCAACTTAAATTATAACCAGTAGGCTAGTAATGATGTTAAATATGCACTCATGGGAACAAAAAACTCTCAAGACAGAACAAGTGTTTTGATTGTCAAATGGTTTATGGGGGGTGCTTGGACAAGAGAGGAAGAACCAAGCAGACAGCAGCACCAACACTTCGGGGCCAAAGGAAGTAGCTGTGAGGTTATGTAGTGACTGTCACAGTCCCAGTTCTACTGTCTACTCTGACAGAAACTGCTACTCATCCGATCTTGGTATCTGATCTTTAGACACTAGCTAAGATCTGCATTTATTTATTTTATTTTATAGTACTAGGATACAGCTCCAGTAACTTTATGACACTGGTCACTGAATTTCAGTAGCCTTTCCTAAAGTCTATTTACCATTGTTATGAAACAGTGTATAACATACAAATGAAATTAGTAGCATTTTCTTCAAAGAAATGAGAAAATTACAACATCTTAAAACATGTCAGGAAGGAAAGAAGAAGGAGAAAATCTACAACACACTAATTTTATATGGCTTGCATGAATACACAAACATTTTAAAAAGTTCATGTTAATCCAGAGTTTTTTTATTTAAACTTTCATTGTTTAGCTCATATACTCAGGTTCAAAACACAGAGACAATTTTTTCAAAATTACCCAGAAATATTCCATATACGATTTAAAAGCCAATGACCAAAGTGAATCTTTCACAATAAGTATATTTTCTTAGATATTTCCTACGTTTTATTTCTTTCTATAATCAAATCCTAGAATTAGTTCAGTTGGTTGGAGCATGGTGCTAATAATGCCAATGATGCAGGTCTGATCCCTGAATGAGCCATTCACTTCAGAGTTGAACTCAATGATCCTTGTGGGCTCCTTTCCAACTCAGAATATTATGTGATTCTATGATCATAATGTCACTACAATAGCACTGTTTCAGACATTATCTTTCCAAGATGAACTAAGTAAATTAAATACCATACAATAAAAATAAAATTGTGTTTAGTTATGGGAGATAATCCAGTATATGAAGGCACTATAAGGCTAACTAACAACATCCCCCAACTACCCACACCAAAAAATAAAAATTAAAAAAAAAATCCCTGCCCTCAATCTATATGCAATTTACTGTTTTTCCCAAGATTCTTCTTCTGAAATTAGTGTATACAACAATTTTAATTCAAAAAATGTTTTGATCACTTCAGAGAAACGTGCTTTTGTTTTCATCAACTTTACACAGCTCAGTACCTCTCACTCCTTTTCACTAAGAAAAGGCTTTGATAGACTCACCATAAAATCCCAGGAACACTAATGAGCAAGAAGTTAGATGCCTAAAATTTGAGTTCCCTGCAGCTCTAAATATTAAATGTCTTAATGCTAAATATAAGATTATTAGGAGTTCAAAACTTTGAGGAGTTTAGATGTACCTCTAAACTTGCCATTATTTTACAAACTAGCTGCTTAGTTTGATCTGCTTTGTGGTATATGAAAAGAAAATACCTCCACAACTGAGATGATTAAATGCTAGTAAATGTACATTAAAAAAACAGAAGTACCATAGAAGTGGATTGGAAGAAAAAGAAAAAAAGCGAAGCATGCATATATTGATATTACTTGAAATTAAGCTGAGTATTATCATAACAGTTTAAAAACATTGCAAATGTTTTCTTACAGTTCAAATTTGTAGCAAATTCATTCTTTTTCTTGGAATGCAAATTCTACTTTCCATGAAAGGAATTACTTTATGATTCTCTATATAATCAGTGAAAAGGTATTTTCTGTGAAATCCATACTAATTGAAAATCATATGTTTGTTTTGTTTTCTAAGGGAAGGATGTTTGAAAAGCAATACTTAGCACTTTCCAAGTAAAAAACATTTTGTTAATTGTATATGGTAATGCAGAGCATGCAACAATGGTGAAGCAGAATATGAGGAAGACCCACACCACAAACTTTAAAATTAAAATCACACAGAGATACATATATTATTGCTCCATACCTGTATAAATTTCTGTAAAAACAGAGAAAATCAGAAGTTGAATATATTATTTAAGTACTTTTTTTCTTCAAAATATACAAGTTTATAATGATTAAACAATAAAGATATGTCTGTGTCCACATCTGTGAATTTCATATTTCAACACAAAAACACGTTTCACTCTTTCTCAGAAAACAAAAGAATTCTACTAAGGAAAACAATTAATGAAAATTTATTTCCTACTGAAATATACGGGTATGCTTTTCATTCTTTATCTTATCTAAATCAGCATTCAACTGAAATTAAGAGTATGTGTGGAAAATTTACGGAAAACTTTTATCAAACTCAATTTTTCCTTATGGCCTAGGACCTGTGTGTGTCATTTTGAGTTATAGTAATGGCTACCTTTAGTTCAGGTAGTCAAACCATTCTGTGTTTTGAGATTCCATTTTCATTTTCTTAAAATTGGACAGATATTATTTATAGCAGTTGATATCAAGATTATAATTGATCACTTTTGTTTGTGTACACCATAAATACGCCACTCTGTGGAAAAATAAAGCTACAAACATTTGTTTCCAAAGCCAAAAAAACCACTCTGAAATTTGGTAAACTTTTCTTTGAGCAACAGCAATGTCCTCATAATTTGTAAAGCAACCAGGGAAAAGGTAACCACGTTTTAAGTGTGAAAAACTGTGATTTGCACATGCTTTCTGGAAAGCTAAGGGACAGATTTTTATTTTTAATGAATATGTCTTGTATCATCTACATTACTTAAATTTGCTCTCTGTAACAGAGATCTTGTACACCATTCTCACAGAATAATGGATGAAATTCAAACCCCTTATCAGATATAGATGATTGGATTTACACATGCAGTATTCCCAGAGTAATCATGGCTGTAAAGGCTTAGAAATTCTTTCTTGTGCATCAAGATGTGTCCCAAGGTGGAAACTAAAAGCAGAGTTGAAACTACAGTATGTACCTCACTGAATTTATGTGGACAGAGTTAGCAAACAGGGCTTTTAGAGATGTCTTTGTGTTTTCAGTGCTGTTCTGGAAGGCCATGGGTCTCCTACAGATCTTGTCATATATGCCAGACCCTTGTGGATATCTAACATACCCAAGAGTTTCTCCATTGACACTAGAAATGACTAGGAAAAAGACTTGGTCTCTGAATTGTTAATTTTTTGGAGACAGAAGCAGCTGTCAATACAAAAAAAATAGAAATATTGGAGAAAATTGTTAAAGTCCTGCAGTGACTTCTTATGTGCACCAACAGCAAGTCCTGGCTCATACTGATTCCTGCTTAGGCATTGCATATCCTTCTTTATTGGTCCGAGGATATGCATTTTCTAGGTAATATGCCACAAATGTGGTCACTCTGCTTCTCTTCCCTCAAAAAGCTCCTACATGACGCAGAGTGCCCTTCATATATCAATGCATTTGGTTGCATTTTTCCCCTAAATAAAATTTTATTTGACTGTTCATTGTCAAGAGAGTGGAAAAAACAGATAAAACCCGATGTTGAACAGGATGTAGTATTTTATGGTGTAACACAGAGATATGCTACAAAGAGGCACAGGTCTTGTAAAACTGCCTTTTTGCATGGGTCTTGGCACAGGAAAGACTGAGGTTTGGTCTATGAGCACTGGAAAAGTAATAGCTCCATTATCTCTATTCTAGTTTTTTTGCCTTCATGAGCACTTACATTTCTTACTTATTATCTGTTTTGTAATTAGCTGTTCCCATAATAGAATGTCCTGTGCTGAAAACTCCATTATCATTCTTGTTTTTCAACAGACTTAAGCATTTTTTTTTCTGCTGAGTTGCCTTTCTTACTAGTTTACTTTCTTTTGCAACATGTTTAATGGTCAATTACCATTTTTGCTTTAATCTTAATTGGAACACATTTGGAGACATGTTTCATTAAGGCTGCCACAAATAAGTAGACATTTCCTCAGAACTGAATTTCAATTTTCCTCTACAATTGCATATATTTCATTAAAAAGGTCATACCTATTAGCAACACCCAGACCAAATACATACAGTGCCTTTTTTTAAACAAGTCATGTAATAATTTGGATCAAATGATAAAAGTCTTTGCTACATTTAGTAAAAACAAGTTACTAAACAGCTGAGGTTTTTTTCTTTTTTTTTAAGAAAAAAAATCATGTCAATTCTTACAGAATTATTACTTATTAAATACACAGTCTCTAACTGAAATGAGCGTTTTAGTGCTTTCTTTCTCCCTGAGCTTTCTTTGGGAATAGCAGAATACTGGCTCAGTCAATGGATCACAGATATTTTCTTAGTTAGTTTCATCTTTGCCTTAAATACTGGTGTAGAAAATGGGGAAAATTTGCAGTTCTGGTGTGATAGTGCAAGATCTGTTGTTAGCTATCAATAATAACAAAGGAGAATAAAGCAGCCTTATACGTTTTACTTTATCTTCTGTAAAAATGAGCTGGTCTAGGAATTGCAGTGGGATCATTCAACTTTTTACATGCTAAGAATGCTGAAAAGCAGCATGCATGGCACAGGGTCAAACTCACTTTGCTACACTCTCAGCAAGGACTGATGTCTAATAGTTGTGACTAACTTCATTGATGTGGCTGGGCGATACATAAAAATGCTGGCACTTCAAAGCTGTGAACAGTAAGGTTGCATTTATTACTATGGACCTGACTGTTAGAAGAATATTTGAATATGCCTCAAAACAACAAAACCACCGATATGAACAGCATGGATATAAATATAGATATTTACTAATTGCAGTGTTCTTGAATACATTTGAATTTTTAATGGAACAAGACACTATTTCCTGATAGAGCCATTGGAGTTTTCATTCTACCTTCCATGAAGCTTTAGGACCTCTAAATGAGATACAGCCTCACCGTATGTTTCTCACAAGTTCTGCTTTCTGCTGAAGCACTTAATATCAATTCTATAATAACTGAAATTTCATTATAGAAAGGCTCCAATTGTAGAATCAATATATTAATAGAAAAGTTATTATAATAACTCCACAGCTGAGATAGTGTAATGCAATCAAACTCATAACAGTAATAATATTAAAATCTTGATTTGTCCTGCAGCCAAATCAAGTTTATCTTCCTTCCTTCTCCCAGTTCCAATTGTCACTTTGTCAGTAGAGAATGTAACAGCTGATTCCTTCTCGGTTTCTGAACTTAACTTCAGAATGTCCACTGATAAAAAATGTTCTATATACATGACTATACTTGTTGTACCTCAGTTATGATAGAAAACAGGTGGAGGAGGGAGATATTTCTAAAAAGAGTAGAATATTTGCAGGTACTAATATATTACAACCTAGCAGATGCAACTATACCAGAAATATACTGAGGTTAAATCCTGTACGTAAAGAACATTACACTGCGGTATACGTAAGCAGTAGCAAGCATGGCAAGTTGCATTTCAGCTTTTGTGTGAAGTGTAATAATGGTTTGTACTATACAAGTTACTGGTAGAACACTAGTGAAAGCAGACAGAAACAGAGAATTGGACTTCTATAACTGGACTGTCATTTTTGATTAATTAGAACACGTTCACAAACACATACAGTGCTTCCAGCATAGGCAACTATTATAAATGGCAAAAGCATATTATACAAATCTGGATGCTATTTTTTTTTTCCATTTAACCTTAGTCACAGGCTCAGCGAGGCTCAGTAACTTCTAGGATTTCTGTCTGGGTTTACATAGGAATCTCATTTTGTAACCTGGTATAGATTTTCCTTCGTTAATCAAATCTTGAGCTTTTCCAAAACAAGGTCAAAAGAGTTATGGTGTAAAAGTATTTGGACTTTGAAGTTCATTTTTTATATCTTATCAGGACTACAGGTAAAACTCAGTGATTTTAGAAAACAGAAAATCAATTTGCTCCTCCACAGGACAAGGACTTTGGAGGAAATAGGATGAAAATACTTCAGTTATCATATTTAGTAATTAGAAAATTATTAGAAGTTGACAAGGATGTTATTTCATATCTGAATTATGCCTAGATGGACTGTTAGTACACTCAAGGTGTTCATCTAAACATTTGAGAAAAGTCAAAGGTAACAATTTCAGTGGCAAAAATTCCAACGAAATACTAAAATATATAGAAAGGCCAGTGATTTACACTAGTTGTGGGGAAATCTTCTCTCAGAGGAACGCTAATGGAGAAGAATATATTAATTTTGTCACCATGTTACACCAGCAGCATCAGAAGATATACTTCTCCAGTGCTCTCCATGCATTAACTTTACCATGGAAATTGGATTTTCTAAAAAAAGTTTTGTGCCCACAAGAAAAGTAAGTCCTCATTCAGATATCAGGCTTGAAGAGTTAATTTGCACAGCCTGGACTGTGGGCATATGAAGAAAAATATATAACACTGCCCAAGCAGCATTTTTCTTAAAAGCCTTGGATGTCTTCCAGTATTCTGTGGAAGCCAATGGAATGAGTTAAAACATTTTGTCGAAGTAGACAAATCTATGCTTTAAAAAAAACAACAAAACAAACCCACTGCACCTCCCAAGAAAAATACAAGAAAATATGAGTGCACAGAAATATTTTAATTAAATTTCTATGACTTTTCTTATTCATATAGGATTAATGTAACAGTTTGTGAAAATTTATTAAAATAAAAAAGTAAATATTCAGGATATCAAAAAGTTTGCGGCACAAGTAGTAGCTATACTTGCTCTCAATAGACTTGAAATGTGAAGAAAGTAAAAATTTTTTTCCTTTTTAAAAACAAGAGGAAATCAAGGGGAAGCAAAAACAAAATGGAAAAATCAAAACTTCCTGGTCATAATCATCCACAGTCTCCTTGTCAAAATGAACAAATGAGAATAGTCAAGAAAATAAAGAAGAAAACGAGATAAACATATAGAAACCAGTTTCTACACATAGAATCAATTTCTAGCTCAGTCTGACAGGCTACCTTTCGTAAGAACGCACCTGAATGTCCACATCATGCTCTGTATTCCATATTTCTCCATTCAGTATATTAGAGGTCTGTTCTACACTTCCTGATCAACTGGTAAATGTTCCTAATATATTAGATGTTCCTAGTAGTAAAGCATGCCCTTCAAGTCAGATTTTGTGATTAGAGAATCAAATCTTTGCAATATATTATGGAAATACAACTTCAGATTGTTTTCAAGTAAATGACAGCATTCATAATAGAGCATTTATGGTTTTCCACTGAGAATATTGCAAGCAAGAAAATCTGTGAAAATACTTAAAAGTACAATAGGTGTTCCTACATAACTTCTACCACTAACATCATATATGTACTTTCTTAACAAAGTAATTCTGTGATCTGTAATTAGTGCACACAAAGCTATTCATTACAGTAACCTGAATGTATTCACACAGTTAAAAAACATAGTTTAACTAACCATTATATTGGCTTACTGTGAATCTCTTAAAGACTACATTTACAGCAGTTTAATACTAAATAAACAGATGGTGTGAGACTGAGGTAGAGTTTTCATATGACACTAAATCTTCTTTTATTTATACCAACAAAAATCTAGGCAACATCAGTATAAGAATTTGATCTTGGAAGGTGTTGAGTAGAGCTATAAACCAGTGAACAGTCTCAGACATGCTATACCAAGAATATTATCATAGAATAGAATATAATATAGAATAATTTAGGTTGGAAAAGACATCCAAGATCATTGAGTCCAACCTTTGAACAATCACCAGCTTGTCAACTAAACCATAGTACTAAGTACCATGTCCAGTCATTTCATCAACACCTCCAGGGAGGGTAACTCCACTGCTTCCCTGGACAGCCCATTCCAATGCTTAAACACCCTTTCAGTGAAGAAATTCTTCCTGATGTCCAACATGAACCTCCCCTGGCACAGCTTGAGGCCATTTCCTCTTGTCCTGTCACTAGTTACCTGGGAGAAGAGGCTGACCCCCACCTTGCTACAACCACCTTTCAGGTAGTTGTAGAGAGTGATAAGGTCTTCTCTGAACCTCCTCTTGTCCAGGCTAAAAAATCCCAATTCCCTCAGTCGCTCTTCATATCACTTACTCTCCATAACCTTCCCCAGCTCCATTGCCTTTCTCTTGACACGCTTCAGCACCTCAATGTTTTTCTTGTAGTGAGGGGCCTAGAACTGGACACAGTACTCAAGATGTGACCTCATTAATGCTGAGTACAGCGGGACAGTCCTGCTGACCACACTATTTCATACAGGCCAGGATGCCATTGGCCTTCTTGGCCACTTGAACACACTGGTGGCTCATGTTCAGCTGGCTGTTGAACAGAGCCCCCAGGTCCATCTCTGCCAGGCAGCTTCCCAGCCCCTCTGCCCCCAGATTGTAGCACTGCCTGGGGTTGTTGTGACCCAAGTGCAGGACCCAGCACTTGGCCTTATTGAACCACATACCATTAGCCTTGGCCCATTGATCCACTGCATCCAGATCCCTCTGAAGAGCCTTCCTACCTTTCACCCACCTTGGTGTCGTCTGCAAACTGACTGAGGGTGCCCTCGATCCCCTCATCCAGATCATCAATAAAGATATTAAACAGGACTGACCCCAACACTGAGCCCTGGGGAACTGCACTAGTGACCAGCCACCAGCTGGATGTGGCTCCATTCACCACCACTCTCTGGACCTGACCATCCAACCAGTTCTTAATCCTCCCGAGCCATGGGTTGAGAGCTTTTCCAGGAGAATGCCATGGGAGATAATATAAAAGGCTTTACTGAAGTCCAGGTAGACAGTTCCGATCCACAGCCTTTCCCTCATCCACTGGGTGGGTTAGCTGGTCATAAAAGGAGACCAGGTCGGTCAAGCAGGACTTCCCTTTTCTAAACCCATGCTGACTGGGCCTGATCCCCTGGTTGCTCTGCATGTGCCACATGATGGTACTCAAGATGATCTCTTCCAAAACCTCATCAGGCATCAAAGTCAGGCTGACAGGTCTGTAGTTCCCTGAATCCTCCTTCCAACCCTTCTTGTAGATGGTTGTCCCACTGGCAAACCTCCAGTTTTCTGTCACCTTCCCATTTAGCCAGAACTGATGATAAATGATGGCAAGTTGCTTGGTGAGCTCTTCTGCCAGCTCCCGAGTATCCTCGAGTGGATCCCATCTGGCCCCATAGATTTGTGAGTGTCTAAGTGGCACAGCAGGTTATTAACTACTTTCTCCTGTTATGTTCTCAGAGGATCTCAGTTACATTTTATGAATCTTGCCAGCAGGGTTTAACATTTCCATTGAGAGTATGAGACACTGCTAGCTTCTTGAAGGTTGGCTACAGAAATCTTGACTTCTTAAATTTTTAATTATTTACTTAAATATCTAAACGAATAACAAGTCTTCTGGAAATATGACTTCTTTTGTAACAAGTACTTCAGAGACCAGTATTTCTAACCATGTACTGAAAACAATTTCACATCTTCCTGCACAGAGGCAATTCTGGTCCTGCAGTAGTCATTTACTTGTTATTGTACTAGATTTTATTCAGTAGAACATAAATTAAAACTAATAAAAATGACAAACTAAATTTTGGCCATTAATTAAAATAATAAGAACAAACACGAGTGTTTGTTCACGAGTTCACGAATAAAAAATTTTTTTCAAGCATCTTACCTAAAAGGGAGAAGTTCTCTTGTTTCAATGTATCAAGAAAATTGCCTTTTAATGATTTTTCTGGAATCCTAAGTATGTTTCATTATATTGAACTGCTAAGGAAAAATGTGTTTCTATTTAATTTATAAATCAATAGGTGCTTTTAATTGACATTATCACTTGAACTAGATTTGCTCAAGAACATAACACACTTTATTTTAAATTATTTTAGCAGTGAGTATTTAAAATTTAATACCAAAATTTCTATGAAAAAGATGACAATAAACCTTGTAATTTAAATATATTGCCTTTAAAATCATCAAAAGAAATAATCACGCGGAGTTTCTGGATTCCAAGGGAGCTATAAATTACTTTCTAATAATGAAAAAGTAATTCAGAAAATGCCATGACCAATAAAATTAGAGAGAAAACTGTAGAGAAGAAACCAATCTTTGTGATGACAGTTTAATGGACATGTAGCTCTCATTTTGTAAGCAATCTTGTTCTGTTAATAAAGTGATTTTAAATTATCAATTTTTATTAATAAATAAACACACCTAGTAGATATATAAACAATGTTTCTTCACCTTACTTGCAACATAAGGTATATTTGGCTGGTTACCTTAAAAGCTTTGCTTGAGAAAATAAAGGACTAATAATGCTGTAGTAAGAGTGAAATGAGTTCAGACAATTGATAGAAATATTTTCTAAAGTTAATTATGTTTGCTTTCCCCTCTCCCTTGGTGTTCATTACCTTTAAACGGAGCCACACATTGGCAGAAATAATTACCAGGTTGGTCAATGCAGGTGGCTCCATTCTTGCACGGAAAAGAAGCACACTCATCTATATCTGTTTCACATCTTGCACCTTTGAAAAGATGAAAGATTTGAACACTTACTAAGACAATCAGGTGCCAATTCCAATTTATTTGTACCACAAAAATCTCAAGCAACTTGTGAAGAGAAGCTAACATACATCAGCCAAATAAAGAGCCACACTACTAATATCAGCATCCATTTAGCTTTTATCACCACAAATACATGACAACTTATTTCTGAGTTGCTAAATGGTAACTAATCTTCCCTGTTTGTGTAAGCTTTGAAGGGCTTTTTAAATGTGGACTAATTTATCTTGTGCTGTATAGTTTATAGATGCAGTCAGAGTTCCAGTTTATTGGAATGGAAATGAAACATTACACCAGGGTAGATAAAGAGAAATGAGAATAATACACAAGCAAATTAGTCAATAATGTCTTAATGGATGCTTTGTGGACTACCTCGCTGTGGAAAACAAGGTTCACCATGAAAACAACTCACCAGTAAAGCCAGGTAGACAGATGCATTCATAGCCACCGATAAGGTCTGCACATGATGCATTATGAAAACATGGAGAAGAGTGGCATTCATTTATATTTGCTTCACAAGTTGTACCTGTACATATACAATTAGGAAAAGGGGAGAGAAGTTACTCCATAGCACATTTAGTTAAAAAACAAACATTAACTGAATATAGTCACATACTAGAATGTATTTTACATCCTTTTTATATTCATATTCAGGAATCTATAACAGACGTTCATCTTCTAAATGTTTAAGTTGTTCACTAATTTTTCAAAAATATTAAAAGTACAGTCATCAAATAGATTCCTAAGGCTTAAAGACAATTTTCCTATTATATGAATATAGAAGAACAGAAAACAAATTACACTGAATATAATATCCTGCACTACAGTGACATGAGAGGAAATATTTCTTGTGTTTATGATAAGGCAACAGAGGTACTCCCAGAAAATTGAAAAAGAAGACAATTTATTCCAATTTAGACTATAGTTAAAACCCCCACATAACTACTCAAGTGTAAAAATACTTTATTGCTAATATTTCTCAGTGAACTTAATTTTTTATCATTTGAAGAATAAGTGAAAAATTACATCAATTGCAAGGTTTGGGAGCTAAAGGAATTTTAAGAAACAAAAATGTGATAATTTATCTGAATATAACTAGCAGTAGAAATGTAATGTTTTGCACTATGACATTTGAATTATGCATGATTAAAAATCCATGTTTAAAAAATGGTGCTCTAAAATGAAAATGGATACACTTTAAATTCTTGATCTGAGCTTAAAGCAAATAATAGCTGCAGATATTATTGGATCTACTTCTCAAAGTGATTAAATTTTTCATATGAACTGTACAAATATGCCAAAACCAAAACTTTTACCACACATTGTATTTTTCCTCAATTCTATTGTATTAAAGCTGCCAAATGTTTAAAATCTTGCAGAAAAGAGTATCCACTATTTGCAAAATTTCACAGAACCCCACAAATCTGTTTTCAACAGGCAGGCCACCAGTCAGCAGCAAACACTCAGATCCAGGCTATAATGAAAACAAAATAGATAATTTGGTCAAGATGCAGTTTCCCTAACTGACATGTTTATAACTTCAGATGATAACCATATAAGTATATATGCATCTTGTCCAATATGTTAAAAAATTAGTGTAAAACTCAAAGTAGATTTACTAAGTTATAGTTCTGTGGATTTTTTAATACCTTCAAATCCATCCTGACAGATGCAACTGAAGGCATTCAGATGATCAACACAAGTAGCTCCATTGTGACAAGGGCCACTAAGACACTCATCCACTTCAATCTCGCAGTTATGACCTGGAAACAAGTGAAGGTTTCACTTCAGTAGGAACACACCACTTGTGAGTCACCAGAGCAAGCAGCAACAACAAAATGAAATAACTGAGGTTAGAGAATTTTTACCAATGAGCCATAAAACGTCTTTGGGGAATTCATTTCTTGGTGATTAAAGGCAAAAATAGAGTGTTGAACATAATGTTCAACAAAGATTGGATGAGAATTCTATAGATTAATTTATAGACGTAGTCAAAAATTCTCATATTTTCATATTTTAAGGGCAATAAAGCCTTGAGTTTTTCTAAAACATCACAAAAGTGTAAGTATGGTATCGAAGTCAAAATATTAAAATATCAATGTTTTCTCTAATATTATTTTTTAATTGATTTATTAATTTGTTATTAAGATCTCTATAGGAAATATTGGGAAAGATTTTCATTATGGACACATTTTCATTTTTTTAAAATTAATAATTAGCAAGTTAGGTACTGACACGTATTTCTAAATATATGAAGGAAAAAATATAGATGCTGATTTCTAGTTGTGAATGTTGTATCTAATTTTTTTTTCTGGTCTTTGAGGTAGAAAAAAGCTGAGAAAGTATTTGCTTTTTGCATATGAATTATCCAAACAGCTAATAATGGTATCAAATTTATTATTACTTATGCCTAAAAGACAGGTAGAAACCTCCTGACTGCTTCAGAGGGGCTTTCAAGTTTTTGTTTGGCCATAGAAAAAGTACACAATAAAAATACCAATCCACTGTTATTTAGATGCCGTATAAGAATTTAAATGAACATTTCAATAAAATAAGACCTCACAAAGAATTATCACAATACAATTTTATTTTATGTATAATGATAATAATAAACCAACCATAGAAACAGGCTATAGCATTTCATTACATTAAAGACATAAATATTACAACTATTAAATTACAGATTATTTCACCTAAATGGATACCTACAACAGGATGTGGAGCAAAAAGTTAAGAGGTATGAAGTCTACTCAGGATCTGAATTCCTCTGGTTGTCTCTGTCCTCCTTAACTATTGAGAGAGAGTGTAGTGTCATCTTACTATTGTTTTAAGAGCCCTGTCCAAGTCCCTGGAGTTAGACAGGATGCCTCTGGGTTGCAGGGCTGATCTGCCACTCAGGGAATTCCTACTGCCCTTGATTATTTCGTCATATAGCTGATGAAAAATATATGTCTCTGTATCTAGAAAGATTTTTTTTTTTTTACACTGTAATCTGGAATTACCATGACAGTATGCTGACATAGCCAAACTAATTTTAATCTAGTGAAATTAATGACAATGACATGCAGTGTATATTCAAAAATGAGTAGTTAAACCTGCTCAGGATCTTGGATGTACATAGGGCAGCTGACGCCCTTGTTACTGCAGACTTTTTATTACAGAGAGTACGAAGAAGATAAATTAAGGCCAACTTGCATATGGCTGTGAGTTCAAATCACATCAACGCAAGACAGACACCATATCTAAAATAGTATAAATAATTACTGGAGTGGAAATAGTCCCTTGTAGTCAGTATTTTTTACAGCTGAATACTCTTACACAGACAAGTACTTTTGTGTGTCAGGAAATAAAAATTTTTTCTGCCTGAATCAGAGGCACACTGTTAAATCATATCTATTGCTACTTTTGAATAACCATCTTTTCTCCGCTTTAGGACTAACTTAAACGTGTTAAACAACACCACTTTGAACCCACCTATAAAGCCAGGTGCACAGAAACAAAGATAGCCATCCAATGTCTCTTTACAGATGCTGGAGGCTCCACATGGCTGTGATAGGCAGGCAGCAACATCTGCTTCACAGAATTGACCAGTAAAACCTGATGAAAAATAGAGTAACAGACAACATAAGAAATTTACTATCACATTTAGTCCTGAAAAACAGACAAGTGATAAACCAATTTACTATGTAATTTTCTGCTCTTATGTTTCAAAATTGTATTTAGTATAGGGTAAAATATTCTAGTCTCTTCGAGAGTTTCAGTTTCATATACAAAGCAATTCTAAATGGAACAAAGTCGTAATGATAATGATAAAGTCAATGGTAAAGCAGTACTTGCAATAATTATAAAATACATTCAAGACACAATGACTCTTCATGAGAATTAGATAGAATGTCAAATTCTTCAAGTGGTTTTACACAAAATTCCTATTTTTATTGATACATCAGTGAGCACATTGTTGATAAAAGTCTTCCCAGTTTTAGTATGGTGTTCTGTCACCACACTAAGAAAACATCCTATGTTTCTAAATGAGTAAAAAAAATAAATTGCCCCAATACATTCTATTATAAAGCAGGTATTACAAGAACAGACATGTTTGGCAGCATATTGGTATTGATTTTTTGAACCAGCTAACTTGTAGTTAATAAGAAACTTAATCTTGTGAAAATTAAGCATCTGTGTTTCCTATTGAGGGGTATGTGTGCACAACATTTAAAAAATAAATTTCACTTTAGGTATATTGGCCATGATATAGTTTCTGAAGCCATCATCCAGTAAGAAAAATCATAATTTTCATTGATAACAACTCCTTTATTTTTGAATACACACAATAAAAAATTGCAAGTATATATTCGTTTCACTGAAAAAAAAATTCAAACAAAATAAAAGTAATTAATTGATATAAAACAATTGAAAAATCAATCCATGTCTGTGGCACTAGTATCCAATTTCTGAATATAACTGTGAAGTTTCAAATTTTAGACACTTTTTTTGTTACTTTGGTCATAAACCTTCAGTGACTTAAAGTATAAGAAGTATAATTTTCTGGTCTCCTACTGACTGAGTACTTAAAAATTTTCTAAGTATCTTTTGTACAACAAATATCAAAATAGACTGGACCAATTTATTATAATTTAACAAGTGCAGCATGGAAAGCCTCTAAAGATTTAAACCAGAGATTTGGTTCAGTGAGCTAAGCATCGTTAATTGCAATGTCTTACAAGCCAAGTCTGGTTGAAGATCTGAACTTCACATTTAATTTTTAAAAATATTTATAAAGTAATACCATGCTTCAGTAGTACAGGTATTGCCAGAACAGATTTTAGCATGCCATCAAGTTGCCCCATACCTGACTTTGTATTCGTCAATATTTTCGACAAAAAGGAGAAAAAGGAAGAGTCTTTGGTCAAAGATGTTCCAAAAAATCTGTATTCCTACAGTATAATGTGATAGCTTTAAAAACCAAACACAACCTTGTTTTAACAGCATTTATTAAGTACAGATTCAGAGTAAAAAAATATTACAAAATTTTCAAAGTTCGGTCCTGCTTGGACCTAGCATAGCATAGTCTTCAAATTAAGGAAATGTAAACTGTGCCGTTAGGGCATGACTGAAGAGCTCCTTATCTGGAAGATTTTTTAATTTTTGAACATCTTGTTACAAGAGGTAAGAGAGAAACTTCTGACCATCAGGGTAGATTGCCGGAACATGCTGCACTTTAGAAATTCTGGCTTGTAGAACAACCCTTTGAGGCATAAATACAAGACAATGCATATTAAAAATGCCATACACATGCAGTCACTTTGGTTTCTAAATCAGAAGATGCAGAAAGGTGTCTTCAAGCTGTTTCAATTCCACCCTGAACACCAGCTGTGCAACATTCTCACACAGTTGAAGTTTTCCTTCCTGTTGACTGCTATTAAAAATTTAAGTTTCTCTCATTTTTGCCTTTGCAAATAGCTGTTAACATCTGCTTACTGAAGTACTACATAAAACTAATATAAAAAATTATGATAAAGTAGTAAAATGGAAACATTGATCAATGATGGTTATAGCTATACATAGATAGATATATGTATAGCTGTTACATGTGATTATGTGACTATCATCTAAGTAGAGATAATGAATATAGGAAAGCTAACACGTTTTTTTCTTTGACAAAATAAAAATGAATATTCATAATAATTTTACAGACTTGAAATAAAGTTCTTAATCTATGTATGTTTTTATTTCTGTGCCTTGAATTAATTATCAAAGTATTGCAACTCGTACAAATATACCTGAAGTTATTATATTAAGTTGAAGAACAAAGGGTGGTGGGTTCATGGCTCAGTTTTGATATTTAACATCTGGTTTTGAGTAAAGTTTCTCATCAAAACAGATTCAGAAGCAGAACTTAAGAATACACTATTTCTTATAAAAAGAAATTATTTTTCTGCTACAGATAACCATTTACTTCATAAATTTAGATAATGGAAATTTAGCAACAGTTTAATATTTTAATTTTTTTCCAGAAATGCCCCATTTACAGTCTTGAGACATTTCTTTCTGACAAATCCAAATGACTCCTGACAAAGGTGGTTTCTACTAGTCAGACTATGACACAAGCTCTCTAGGGAGATCATTGCATTGTGATCCATTCTGACATAGTCCAGCCACACAGTGATTCATGGCAATTTCACTACATGGTTCCTTATATTCTAGATGTCAGGTACATCTGAAGCTATTAACTGAAACTTCACATTAAGGGTTATTGTCAGAGGCAGCAGGATTTGATATGCATTCATTTACTGTTATTGAACAAATACTACTTCTGGGAAAAAAGTTATATAGTTCCTGTTAAAATTACATCTAGGAAAAGCTTAAACAGACTGAAAGAAAGAAATGACAGAATTTAATTCATTATCATTAAGATTCATGCATACTAACGGGTTACTAATCTCTCCTTTTTTATACTGGGTGTGACAATAATTACATACAAGCCATTTTATTAATTTAGCTTTTGGAATAGACTGATTACTACTGTTTTTGTTATTCAGCACCTATAAGAATGAAATCCTACTTTTCCTTGGGTCCTCTAGAATTTCAAGCATAAAAATTGTTCTTATTGCAAAAATTTTACAGAATATAAAAATTTTAAAAAATGTGCCACCATTAACGGCATAAAAAAAAAAAATCATCACCTTTGCATGTGTATTGGGTTTGCATGGCCAGGTTTTGGTAGCTGGGGAGCTACAGAAGTGGCTTCTATCAGAAGCTGCTCGAAGCTTCCCCCACATCCAACAGAGCCAATGCCAGCCAGCTCCAGGACAGACCCCTTGCTGGGCAATGCCAAGCCAATCAGAGGTGGCCTCTGTGATAATATTTAAGAGGAAGAAAAGTTACCAGGTGTAATGGTGCTCAGAGGAGTGAGAATATATGAGGAGAACAGTTTTGCTGACCACAAGGTCAGTGAAGAAGGGGGAGGAGGTGCTCCAGGCACCGCAGCTGAGGTTCCCCTGCAGTGAGTTACATGTTGTTCTGTGGTAGTTTCATTGAGACAGTGTTCCCTATGTTTCCTTATAAAAATGCTAATGAACTCAAGATATACATAACCTACTTCTTCCTTATCCCAAACGTTTATTACAACCTAACAACAGAAATTACAATGGTTTCACACATTTTACTCTTGAGAAATTTGTGTTATCTAGTGACCATTACATTTTTGTTAGCTTCAGAGGCTTGCAAATAGTTCATCTTCACAATTTCTCTAGTATTCTTTCAAGAATTCATGTAAGTCCTGACAGTTCTATACTTCATCTCTGCTCTCTTCTACCTTTCTTTTATTTGACCTATCCATAAGTCAACAGCTCTGAATTGCTCTGAGTCATTTCTAAATACATCTGAAGCTGTGTATGTGAAAATATGAAATAAACATATGAAAAGTATGCATTTTCATCTAAGCATTCCAGATTCTTCTGTGATTGGTAAAATTTTGAAGATTATTCTGGGACCTATTGAAAAACACCTGAAAGATAACACAGCCAGCATGGCTTATGAGGAGAAAGTCCTGCTTGTCAAACCTGATTTCCTATGATGACAATGTAACACATCTAGTTGATCAAGGGAAGCGAACTGATTTAGTCTTTTTGGATTTCAGTAAAGCTTTTGATACTGCCTCTCACAGGATCCTTCTGGACAAAATGTCCAGCAAACAGCTGGATAAACAAATCATGTGGTGGGTGAGCAACTGGCTTGGGCACAAAGAGTTATAGTGAATGGGGTAACATCAGACTGGTGACCTGTCACTAGTGGGGTTCCACAGGGCTCCATCTTAGGCCCTCTGCTCTTCAACGTCTTCATAAATTAATTGGATGTAGGATCAAAAGAATACTAAATTTGCGGATGATACAAAATTGGGAGGAGCTGTTCACTCCCTCATGGGAAGGGAAACCCTGCAGAGGGACGTCGACAAATTCGAGGACTGGGCAATCACCAACCATATGAAATTCAACAAGGAAAAGTGACAGATTCTGCACCTGGGATGGAACAACTGGATGTTTTTACAGACCAGGGAATGAGATGCTGGAAAGCAGTGCGACGGAAAGCGACCTAGAGGTCCTGATCAATGGCAAGTTGAATATGAGTCACCAATGCCCTGGCAGCCACGAGGGCCAACCATGTCCTAGAGGGCATCAGGCAAAGCATCGCCAGCTGGTTGGGGGTGGGGATTGTCCCACTCTGCTCTGCACTGGTGCAGTCTCACCTTGAGAACTGTGTTCCGTTTTGGGTGTCACAATATAACAAGGATATAAAACTATTAGAAAGTGTCCAAGGGATATCTACAAAGATGGTGAAGGGCCTTGAGGGGAAGCCATATGAAGAGCAGCTGAGGTCACTTGGTCTGTTCAGCCTGGAGAAGAGGAGACTGAGGGGAGACCTCATTACAGTCTACAGCTTCCTCATGAAGGGAAGTAGAAGGTCAGGCACTGATCTCCTCTCCGGTGACCAATGACAGGACCCAAGGGAATGACATGAAACTCTATTAGGGCAGGTTTAGGTTAGATACTAGGAAAAGGTTCTTCACCCAGAGGGTGGTTGGGTAATAGAACAGGCTC